TTTCAACAGGGTTGTGTTATTAGACACCATCTTTCCTTAGTTTGTATAGAAATTATCAACACTTAGTACTGAATACTGGGCTGAAATTAGAAAAGGAATGGTTAATAATTCATATTTTTGTCGTGCAATAGAGCCTCTTAATTCCATATCACTACATCTTTTGTTATATACTTTCAACAACAATAACAGAAGTGCCCTGGGACCCTGGTGATTACTTTTTCAACACTTTCTAAAACAAAGTGAAACATAAATCTGATGGTTACTTTACCTGCCAAGAAGAAGTAGATATCCTGTAAATAGGCATGATCTTTATAAAACTCGACATCATTATAGGTTGTATACAACATCATAAAACCCAGACAAGTTAATATCAGAGCTGTGAACGATGTCCATCTAGCACCAACCTTCTCATACATAAACCCTGCTGGAAATCCAATAGAAATACCAAAATTACCTAACGCTGCCATCATCTCAACTGTAAGAAGAATAAAGTTATTATTTTAAGTGTTATTGCTAATATACATGTTGTAAGATCTGTTATCTAGTCAACCCATAAAAAATAACCCTGCAGTCAATTTTAAGCTGTTACAGCCAGCGTAAAACCCTAGTTACTTGCTGCCTCTTCACTATACCAGGTTTCAGATATTTCCATGAAATGACTAAAAAAATTATAACTCACCATCAGATTGTTTGTAGCCGAATTTCTTCTTAATGGCATTCGAGTAGGCATTAAAAATAAAAATAGAACCAGCTATCGCCATCCCAATACAACCTACAAACACTGCCAGAAACCGTAGCACTAAATTCTTATATATTTTCGCCATCTTACTTTCTTTGACTTCAAACCTTGAATATTCTGACTCCAAAAGTTCTAATTTCATCAGAAGAACCCGCTTTCTATTCCGAACCGGCCTGTCTCACTACGGTCTAAACTCAGCTCACGTTTCCTGTTGGTGGGTGAACAATCTAACGTCGGCAAATTCAATATTTGGAACTTTGGTAAAGGCTAGTCCTATAACATGTCCACATATTGGATTTTATATACTCGACTTTCACTTCCACAGGCAACGATTTATCTTTGGAAACTTTCCGACAGACACAACAACACCCAACATCCGTTTAAATATAAGTCGTGTCGTGTGATTAAAGTAGACCATGTCAATTGTTATCAAAGACCAACCTTTGCCCAATAATTATCCAATATCAGGGATTAGATTTGGGAAGTGATACGGGTATTCATCGTATTTCAAGGTCAGATATCAGGTATCAGAGTTTCTATTGTTTGATCGTTTGAAACAGGAAGTGACAAGGTCTACTTGTTTATTAACATATTCATCATCAATGGATGTCATCGTCTGACAGGGAGTCTTAATCTAAAATACTTAAATTATATTGACTACAGTTAGTACTAATGTACTTGGAAAACTCATTATACCAACATTAATCCGATATTTTTATTTTACCCAGAAAGCTTCTGAGTAATTTTCTATTTATTGATTGTAATGATTCTTGATATTTTTGTTATAGATAAATTGTTCTATGGAATTTCTAGTTCGTTTCTTTCCCCAATTGAATCATAATACTGCGTTTTTAATTTTCTTAAAACTGTGTTCCTTTCTGTCGATTGCTTTCAGACAGTCATGTTAGCCATTACTGAGATTGGTTGACAAACAGACAAATTCCTATTATTATTAGAATGATACCATCACGTCCGACACAGAAACATTCTCTAAAACATGAAGAACAAACATTATCATTGACGGTGAGAATTCCAGATTGACAAACACGTCTATTCATTGGTTAATCGCCTGCTAACTGTCCAATCAGAATGCTGGTAAAACAATTTAAAGATTCAGAACGTCACAGATTCGAAGGTGGTAAAAACAATGTTTTAATATCTCTATTAGAAATAGAAGACCATATGTTCAAGATATTTCTGTTTCTTCGGCTTCAAAGTTTCTACTTCAGAAGCTCTCTGGATCATGATCACTCCAGAATTGTTTTAAATATTTTTATGTGGAATTATGTGAGAAATTTAATGTCTGAAGACATTTGATTCTTTTCATTTGGATTTTTTTAGGTACCAATAAAGTTTCTTTCTTCAAGGTGTATTTGGTAAAGCAGATGAAATATAAAATTTAATTTGGAATTATTAGAAATACCAGTGTTTTAGGAATGTTTGTGTTATCTATCTCTCTTGATTAGCCTGAATTAGTCTAATAAGTTGGTCAAGGCTGTTTCCATTCCAAATGTTCTAGGACATTTAATTAACAACTCATTAAAGTTTCCGTGATATTTTTTGTATTTGTGGATATATTTATAGGGTTTGTATAAGCAGTATGGCGTAAAACTCTAAATTTCAAAGTTTAAAACAAAACTGAGAAAGTCGCGCAACATCTTGACATAAAATCCAGCCTGAATCGAGACTGATATAAGGTCAGGATTAGGAAGAGTAGGACGTAAAACTCCATCAGGAACTATTACTATCTACAATGACTTGTATTAAAAGAACGATAACTCTAATCGGAATAATAAAAGCTATAATATCTCGGTGTTTATTCGCTGGTCACGGATTTATCTGTATCTGGCGTGTTACAGTTATCAAGAAGAACCCCATCTGGTGGTCTCTGACTGGAACTCTACCACTGCTGTTCCTGGAAGCTCTGTTTACTTTGAAGATAAAGAAAGGTGGAGAGTGGAAATGGTGGCTATAATTTTATTAGTTTATTCCTGAAACAGCTAGTCTGTGATATCAGTTAAATTGAAGCGGAAGTACCATCTACCAATCAAACAACCAACCATTATAGTTCAATAATAGTGTACTGAGTATTACTGTTGGCCTATTTGATCGATATTTGCCAAATCTTAAATTCCAGACATTTTATTTCTGATCGCCAATGGGATATAGGAAACTTCTTATTCCAACTTTCAATATTAACCTCTCTATTTCAGGGTTTGCCCCAGTGTATTTCTATATTTAGCTACAGCGATTCCTGCTATTTGGTTCCTGGAACTGGATCTCCTGCATCAAAGAATCGAGTTGGTTTCTGGTAGACAGCTGATCACTCGACTCCCTCCCAATCAAATACCCGGATGGAATGGAGAGGTAGGTTTATTCTTGGGCAAAGATATATAATATATATCGCTCGAGCCCCAAGGGGTACCTGATTGGAGAGGAAGCGGGCGGGAGCGAGGGGGGGGGGGGGGGGGGTACTTCTGGAGTCCAAGTTTAAGGATCACCTCACAGGATTGATGGTGAATGAAGAGTCACTGAACCAGATAAAGAATTAAACCTGTTAATGTTATATTCATATAACATAGAAATAAAAATACTTTGACAGAACCTAAAACAACCTAGACAGCAGATCTATTTTCAGTCTGCGTCCTTACTGAAGCTTATTCTCATTTCGATTATACATCTATTATACGATGAGACAAGTTCGGAATGTTTGTTCACTGTTGTATTGAACAGTATTTTTGTTATTTATTTATATAACATAATATGATAGGGATGATTGGTTATAAATACTTGTTTTAATATTGATGATATTGTCTATCTACCTTTACATAACCTCGGATAAAACAATGATAATACAGTGATAATACAGAGATAATACAGAGATAATACAGAGCACTTCAGTAGCAACTGGGTACAGATAATCCGAAAAGATCCGCAGACAGTGACAAATTCCACCTTTCCTCTACGAAACTTGTTAGACACTTATGAGCCCAGGGCTAGTTGGTAGACAGAATCCTTGAGAACTTCAAATGTTCCAAGATGGTTTGATCATAGATCAGTTGGTAGACAAGATATGAAAAAACTCCTCTTCAAATCTAGATACATATTCAATCTCATTCTAAATTATGTTTCAGATAAATCTACCAATTAACCTGATTCCTGATGATTGGTGTAAGATTCTAGAGCAGATGCTGCTACTGGTCCTCATAGTGGGAAGATGGCTGCTGCCGAAAGGTGAAATCAGTCGAGAACAGCTGTCGCAGCTATTATTGGTGTATATAGGAATGGCTGCAGATATCATCGAATTATTTGAAGCTTTCAAAGAACGAGAAGTAAAAACCAACAAAATCTTAACCATCATCATTCTTTCCTTATGGACGGCAAGCTTGTTACAGTTTACCTTCGTTCTTACGGCTACCAAATCAAAACGCATGCGACCTGTCTTGTTTCATGAAGGAAGTACTGCGAGTACTATCTCTGTTGGAGGAAAATCCTGCTGTCCGACTGAAGTTATATCGATCATGATCAGCGTGATGCTTCAGGACGGACCATTCCTCGTCTTACGGATGTTGTTAATCTTCCGCTATAACGTCATCAGCTACACCAATTTATTTTTCACGTCAAAGAACAGCCTCGTTCTTATTCTGCAATTTTACCGCCTTTTTGTCCTGTTCTGTCAGAAACCAGATCCTCCTACAACTCTGGTGTTTGCTGGTGATTCCGGAGACGACGATGATGACGACGATGGTGGAGAGGAAGAATCAGAAGAAGATGAAATTAGTTCAGCCTCATTACCACAACCACCGGAAGTACCTAACCTCACCATCTTAGAAAAGGAAGCTCCGCAGAAGAAACCCGGAAGTGTTAATTACCAAATCAGCAGACAAGATTCGGTCATGTCGTCGTCATCGAAAAAACTTATTCATCAAAATTCTACTCCGAATATCGAAACCAAAGACAAATCTGAGACGAAGAAACAGAATTCAGAATCGGGAATAGAAGATGACGTGATTTCAAACGGAAGTGATGTCACGTCAACCAAGAGGAAGACGAAGAAAAACTTGAAGGCTACTGGTGATACCAGAAACAACTGGAAGAACGTGAAGAAAATGTCCCGAGCTATAGCCTTCATCAACCAGGCTGGGGAAACTCAGTACAAAACGGTGGTCTTGAATCGTCCTAAAGTGAAGTCAGGAGGAAAATCTTCTGTCGGTAAACATGATAAAAAACACTGTTTGAAGAAAAAATCTTCTAAAAAGATTCAAATTTAATAATGAATAAACAAGATATTTCAAAGAATTTCAAATAGTACAGTCAAAGCCCGACATATCTGTCCCTATCACGTTTAACGGTGTCGATATCTCATCCTCCATCTCTAAAGAGGAAAAGGTAGTCGCCAGAAATATCGTATTATTACTGTATATAAATTGTAAAATATGGTTTTAGATTGTATTCCATAGTACCTGAAAATATTTCCATTCTACGTTAGCTTCTGTAGATAAGATCTCATTTTTTTTCACTAGATAGTTATCACAGACACGTTTATCATCTTTTCACCTTGAGAATTATTTTAGGCTATATTATATTTATTATATATTTCACTACTTGACTATTTGCATCTAAATTTAAATAGTTTAATGTCTTCTTATTAAATAAATAGAAAATACATGTATATACATTCTTAGTTTTATTCAGAATAATATGTATTATAATACAATGTTGTTTCTACCAGGACCTGGCCCGAACTTAACCTTCACCTTCAAATTTCTTACCATTTTACAATTTCCTACGAGCCTCCTTGACAATTCTGTTGACCCTGGCGCCTTATTCTTCAAACTTAACTTAAATAAAATCCAGAAGATAAGAAATACTGTAATCTGATTGGATAATAAAACTAAATTTAAAATCAATATATGTGACTGACCAATCAGATGACTGGAAAACTAAAATCATCTTAAGTTTTCAAGAATAAGGACCGGCTTGCCTAAAGATTTATAGAAACGCCATTGTTATAATAATGTTTATATGGGAATTTCACACGCAATTCCTAACGTAAGAAGACACGAAGTCGGATTCATATACTTTAACGATAAGACATTCGTATAACTGACACAGTCGATCGTCAGTACGTTCAAGGGTAAATTGTTAAAGTCGGATGGGTTGATTGAATCTCCAGAATCCCAAAACCAATCATTAGTTGTTGAATCTTTTTTACCTCCCAACCAAACAGAACCTAAAATATAAAATATACCCTAGTTCATAAATCTATTCATTTATCAATTGAAGATCACATAGAAAAATAGACATACCTATAATATCACAGTCAATATAGAAAACAGACATATGTAAGCCTACCTATCTAAATTACAATCTATAAATCCATAAGACAAGAAGTCCAAAGGCGATATTTACCTGCATCCATGTTATTCTTCATCCACGTTGTTTTGGCGGGAGAATTCAATCTCATTAAATATCCTCCATCGTCTATACAAGTTTGATTGGCTGAATTGATTTTCATTAGGGTGATATATATCTTAAAACATCCATTACTAGAACTGTCAAATTTATATCCAGACTTGGTGGCACATAGAGCTGAAAAGAATTTTTAAAACAGGGAAAAAAAGCCGGGAAAGGGCATTAAATTTATATTTACAAAAGTAGATTATGTCATGCTTCGGGTATACAATCTTCATCAGGACAGACTTTCTAATGTCAAATTTTTCTTGGCACGTTTTGATATGCATTTTTGGAAGTTTTTGTACATACCTGCTCCAGAAAGCGGTGGAACTGTCGATTGGTACGATGTGGTAGTCTCCTGCCAGCCGGGAATTGGCAGTCTCGTGAAAGTTTTAGCCCCTCCTAGAACGGACGGAATTAGTAAAAGATTTATACTAGGAATCTCTGTATAGAAATAACAGTTGCTGGAATCACGGTGGTAACTAAAGCTAGTGATAGTTGGTGATTGGGAGGCTAGCATCACACACTGGATCTTCGAGACTGTTCTAATAGACGTGGAACTGTAGACTACACCATCCAGGTTTAAATGAATCCAGTTGACAGACAATCCAGTTGTAGGATTGATAATTAAAAATATACACAATAAAATAATCAGAATTATTACTGATGTGAACATGGCTTGAGTAGAAAATCCCTTCTTTGTTTCCATTAAGAAAAAAATGATGTGAGATATTATGTTACCTAGTTCAATCTTCAATTCCTTCCTCACAGTTTCTGTTACTATTAAAATATTCTGCAATTTTCACCCTTTCTGTAATTTTTAAATGTAATCTTAAATCTTACTTCCCGAATAATCGAGCAATCTGTCTCAATATTCCAATTTTGGAGTATTTTTAGAATTAACAAAAGCTCTTTATATTTCACCATAAATGACAATGCCTCAAATCAACAAACAGTCCTAGAAAAATTCTGGCATTTATAAATTATATTTATATTAATCCGTCATACCACAATAATATCAAACGTTTATAAAATTCGCTCAAAACCTTTTTTAATTATTGGTACATATTCAAACACAATCTAGATCTTCAGTAAACTTTCTTATTCTCTTGATAAAATTAAACAAACCGGTTTCTTATAATAAAACTGTTCAACTAAAGATCCTGCGAGACTTAAGAACCATAATCAGACATGACAATAGGCAAACTTTATACCATTCTCTACGTAGTGTAGATAAACACCAATCTTACAGTGGATCCGGGGAAACAAGATAATAATATTATAGGCTTGAAATCACCGCCATCATATCATGTCCTGACGATACTATTAAATATACAGCTATATTCACCAACAAATCTTTGCAGTTCTTGTTTAATTATATTCTTAAAGACATAAAAACAATGGCGACCAACAAACTTTATAAAACATAGTGATCAGTACCTTGTTAACTCCGGGAGATACTAAATAATATTTACACTGTTTCAATTTTTAATGAGATTAAATATCTTACAGAAATGGATTTTTTTGTGTCAACAATTAGGCTACATATTTACTGATTTGGGAATTAAATAATAGTCCGAAAGTGCTGATGTTCTGAGGACAGATCGATTTTAAGTTTGTTGAGGTTTGTAGTCTATGGTGTCTTATGACGTCATGTTAATGATTACAGCGAATTACTTTTAAGCCACAGATACAGGATAATCGTGACAATGGTCACTGCGCCATTATATGTTATTGTGGTCTTATAAAGTCCCTGTGTCTATTTCACATAACGTCCCTGTGGTCTCAATTATTGACCTTCACCTTTTGAGTTGTCTTTTCTTGATTATCATTGTTTATGTTTCCTTGGGATCTTCATTAAATATTAGCAGTTTGTCGCTGCCTTTGTTTGTGTTCCACCAACTTGACTCATCCATAAACTGTCGTGGTGGCTGGCTGTGGATCGAATCTCTTCGTCTCCAGTTAAAAAAGGTCGAACCAAACTATTAAAACAGGCAGGTTGCATTTTTTGCAAATAGACTTCTGTTGGCCCGTGTTTAAAGCGCTCCATTTTTATATTTGTGTGTCCTCATTTTAACATATTCAATGGCTTCAGTCCGAGCTCCAAAACAGAGAGTTCTCAAAAAAGACGAAACTATAACATCTTTTGAATCATGGAAGCAGAATTTGACGTATATTTTATCTGTCGACGAGAATTTCGCCCCGTTTTTAAATGCTGATGTAACATGAACGAAGAAAACGAGAGATAACCCTGAGAGAGGCTTAACCGGTGAAGAAGGTGGTCAAACTGTAGCCCAAAAAGTAATTTTCTTAGAGCTTATGCTAGGACAAATTTCTAATTTTTGTCCTGTTATAGCCAGAAGCTCAATTATTCACAAATCTTTTAGTATAGCATCTGTTTGGCAAACTATCCGTGCTCATTTTGGATTCCAAAAACAGTGGTGCCCAGTTTCTTGATATTTGTGACATAAAATTAGAACCCGACGAGAGGCCCGAGGACTTATTTCAACGACTCGTTGCCTTTATGGATGATAATCTCCTGCCCCCAATTGTGGTCTTACACATCATGGTGAAGTCGTCATAGAAGAGGAGTTGTCTCCCTCACTAGAGAATCTAGTCGTAGTCTTATGGTTAAGATTGATAAACCCTGCACTTCCTAAATTAGTTAAACAACGAAATGATACCCAGTTACGTTCTTGCTCCGTGTCATCACTCAAGGCTGGCATTTCCCAATCACTCTCCTCACGTTTGGAAGAAGTGGAGTCAAACAAAGAAGTTCGATGTATGCGTATGGAAGCTAGACCAAAATACCGCAAGACCTCTTCATACCATTCTCCGGCTAAACAAACGCTGAAAACGTGCCCATTATGTTTGCAAGCAAAACGAGGATCGTCGAATCATTTTTTAAGTATGTGCCCTTATCTACCAGAGCAAGATAAGAAATTTATGTCCCGCGCTAGGCAAGTGTTAGTGGATTCCGACATAGAAGACGTCTCCGACTCATTGACAGCCGTAGGTCCCATATCTTCCCGAGGAGTTCAGGTCGACCAGTCACCCTATCTTGACACATTTTATCAACATCATCATGTTCGGGTAACCATTGATTCTGGGTCAGAAACCAACATGATTAGCCACTCTTTAGTTCTACGTTTAGTAATACCCGTAACGAAGAGCACTCAACATGCCACACAAGCCGATGGTCAGACTAAACTTAAAATTGTTGGTGAAACCCGATTTGAACTATTTCGAGACACACACATACTTCATCTTACTGCCCTCGTTGTTGAATCTATGGACGTTGATTTATTGGGTGGTACCACTTTTATGTCCGTGAACGACGTCTCAGTCAGACCAGCAAGGGTTCAAGTCATGATAGGAGAGGAGATCTACAAATACGGTCCATCGGAAGATAACAAGTCACCGGTCGTACGTCGCACCCAAGCTTCAGTATTACGTTCCACTGAATCCACCACAATTTGGCCGGGTCAATTTATCGAAGTGAAATTGCCAGCAAATATCAACCAGCTCTCAACAGTCGCTATCGAGCCCAGATTGGACTCAGCCCAAACCAATGATCACACTCGATGGCCGGAACCTGCCATCTTACAATCAGTTGGTGGAAAGATACGTATACCCAACGCAACCGATTTACCTGTTGTCATCCGACGCAACAGTCATTTTTCCCAGGTAGTCCCTGTTTTTACACCAGAGTCGCACAACATTCTACCAACCCCAAATCAAAAACTGATAACACCCGTCGTCAGCTCTCCCGTACTATCAGTAAGTCTGGACCCGATAACATCCTTTCACCTTCCCTTCGTCATCAGTTTGAAGTTTTGCTTAAGCAGTACGAACAAGTCTTTAGTCCATCACCTACAGGATATAATGGGGCGTTTGGGCCATTCACAGCAAAGGTCAACAAGGGACCAGTTCTGCCACCTCAACGTAAAGGGAGAATACCCCAGTACTCCAAAGACAAATTAGACGACCTTCAAACCAAATTCGACGAACTGGAAGCCCTTGGTATATTTCGCAAACCCGAAATTCTAGATCTGGTAGTCGAATACCTGAACCCATCATTTCTAATAAAAAAAAACCTAACGGTTCGTATAGATTAGTCACAGCATTTGGTGAAGTTGGAAAGTACGCCAAGCCTCAACCTTCACTAATGCCCGATTCAACATTGCGTTCTATAGCTAGCTGGAATTACATCATAGCTACAGATTTATCAAACGCCTTCTACTAGATACCCTTATCATACGACTCAATGAAATACTGCGAAACTGGGAGAAAGTCTTAAATGCTTTACAAAAGGCATCTTTGAACTTCAAGTCTTCTAAAACTGTCATTGCTCCTAAGAAAACAACGATCCTGGGATGGATCTGGTGCCTAGGCACACTCAGTGCTAGTCCTCATCGAACCACTGACCTATCTACTTGTGCACTTCCCAAAACAGTCAAAGACTTACAAGCCTTCATTGGTGCATACAAATTTTTTTCTCGCGTGTTGCCTAATTGTGCCTCATTCCTCAGCCCACTTGATACCATCGTTGCCGGAGCCAATTCAAAGGACGTCATATCGTGGACAGATGAATCAACTGACGCCTTCACTAAAGCTCAAAAATACCTAAGAGACTCCTAAACGATAACTTTACCTAAATCATCTGATCAATTATGGATTGTAACCGACGGGGCTGTGAAAAACTTTGGATTAGCTTCGACTCTATATATCTTTCGTAAAGGCAAACTTCTTATAGCCGGATTTTATAGTGCCAAGTTACCAGAACGCAAGCAAGGATGGAGCCCTTGGGAGATAGAAGTTTTGTCTATTGCTGCATCGATTAAACATTTTTCACCCTATATGATTCAGGCTCAGTCTATTACTCAGTTGCTAACTGATAGCAAGCCGTGTGTCGAGGCGTACACCAAATTACTAAGAGGCGAATATTCCAACAGTCCACGTGTCGCAACTTTCTTATCAATCGCAAGTCGGTATCAAATTTCAATTCGCCACTTGGCAGGCAAGGTTTACATACCCTCTGATTTTGGTAGTAGAAACGCTCAGGAATGTGACGAACCAGGTTGTCAGGTGTGTTCCTGTATTGAATCTACTATGGAGTCTGTAGTTCGTGCCATTTCAGTCAAAGATCTATTATCCGGCTCAGTTAAACTACCATTCCAAAATCGTACATTATGGCGTCAGGCCCAACAACATTGCAACGATCTCCGTAGAGTATACTCTCGTCTTATCCAAAGAACCCACCCATCAAAAAACAGTCACAAATGTAAACGACGTGAAACGTAACCTACAAAACGTAACCATAGCGGCTGATGGCACTCTGGTCGTCCGGAAAACTGACCCATTAACACCAATTAGAGAAGTAATCGTGATTCCACGTGAACTCTTACAAGGTCTTATAACAGCTCTACATATCCGTCTGAATCATCCATCGAGTTACCAAATGCGTCTTATCGTGAAGAGATATCTTTATGCCCTCGATATCGATCAATCTGTAGATCGTGTCAAAAACCAATGCCATGCTTGTAAATGACGAAACTGTTAAATCTATCCGAGATTCCCTTATACAATTATGTGTAGACATGATCCTAGTCGACGGTCAGTGTGAGTTCGTTGTGATCCAGCGCCCTGTTTTCAGGCCTTAGTGCATGGCCCTAAGCTCAAACAGTACGGAATTAATTGAATAATTTGAAGTGGCCTATCTGCTCGCGAAATGTGGTGTAAGCGCGACCAAATTACTAATGCTCAGCTCTCTGTGGACGATCGTAATCTTATTCAAAAACAACATGACACTCGTTTAAAAAACCATCCTTACAGTGTAAAAAATGTAGCATTATAGTGGACGAACGAACGATTTCTCCTTCTGTACTAAAGGAGACGTGTTTGCCCTACAATTTGTCTAATTGTTTGAGACCTGACAATGCAGTGGGTTGTATTGTCTCTTTTTGTTCAGTCAACGCCGCCATATTCATTTTTGTAGTCATTTTCATATTGTATGTTTGAAGAGTGCTTGTTCCATTATCATGAAGCCATTGTATAAAGCCATATAAATTACTACTGCCGTTTTGTATCCGGTTTTCAACTGTGGGTAATTATAATACAGATAGAACCCTCTGCCATGAGTCTGAGCCAATGAACCACCCCCTAAAAGAAGCAGAAGAATTTCCGTTCCATGTACATACAGTCAGAGCCTAAACATCGCCATGATACGCAGCGAGCCAATTGGAACTCGTTGACATACAGTGAACGTTCTAAGAATCCTCGAGGAAAAGTTTTTCCCAAACACGATATATCCGTTGGCGATTTGGTTTACCTCTATTGTGATCGAGATAAAAATAAGGCACGAGATAAATACATCGTTACAGGCATTACAGGTGATGTACTTGGTATCCATAAGATACTGAATGACCAAATACGCTCCAAGTTATATTCCGTTAAACGTTCTGAAGCTTATAAGTCTCTATCAACTACTGACATTCCGGATTCTAGCTCTGATGACAGCGAAGACGATATAGATGTGATTCCGCATGTTCTGACCGATCCCCCACCCCCTCAGGACACTTTACCACTTGAGTCTAACACAGAACATTTGTCATCATCTTCATCTACTCCAACTGAATCCTCATTAGATCCACGTTGTAGGCAAAGGCCGAAACGATTTGATGACTACATTCTTTATTAATGTTCTAACTTGTTTCATCCTATTTAAGGACAGTCAGAGGGAAAGAAAAAAGCAGCCGCGCCATTATATGTTATTGTGGTCTTGTAAAGTCCCTGTGTCTATTTCACATAACGTCCCTGTGGTCTCAGTTATTGACCTTCACCTTTTGAGTTGTCTTTTCTTGATTATCATTGTTTATGTTTCCTTGGGATCTTCATTAAATATTAACAGTTTGTCGCTGCCTTTGTTTGTGTTCCACCAACTTGACTCATCCATAAACTGTCGCTGATAAAAAGTCGAGCTCATGACGAACTTGTGATAAGCAGAATTTGTGAGAAACTGAATTTCGACAGAATTTGAGATCAGCTGACGTCATCGAGAAATTGCTGGAGCTAAGCAACCTGAGTTGAACAGACGAATATTATTGGTTTATTTCAGACGACCTTGAAACCTCGATATCTGGGTCAAGGCTATTACTAACAGGTCGTTGGGGTCGATTTTATAATCTATGTACTTTTAACTGTAGATATACATATATTTCGATTTCCGCTGATCGGAATTATTACTATAAACTTTTGTTTTGATGAGTATATTTTTCCGTGCTATTTTTTACCAATAACGACTCTTACTGTGTTTGGTAACAAATATTAGGCTACCTGAAGGCAGGTATATTTCAATCGATCAGACAATATTTATTCACTATCTTACCTGTTAAATTACAATTAAATAATGATCAAATTGTCGAACTCTTTTCTTTGTTAATGAATAAGTCTTTATATTTATTGATGGTCCCTATTTTCTAAAGATTTTTATTCTATTGAGAATTATAGATCTATATCTATATTGTTTAAAACTGTTTCAAACTAACTGAAGAATAGCTAGTTCCGAGTTAATCTCGAGTTATTCCCTGTAGATGATATAGCTTTATCTAAAATCACTCAAACGAATATTATTGGATTGACTTCTATCTTACAATAGTAAAATTGATGTCAAAGTCCTATTTCTATTCTGAGTCAAAGTGTGGTTTTATAAAGAGTAAATATATCAACAGAATAAGACTCTGTATAGTCATGTTCCTGAAACGTTGTTTTAAAAATATGAATATTAAGAAATTGAATTCTGTTTTAATCTGGTTTCACGGTCCAACAACAGAAACACCAGATTTTAACCTCTGGTGACTGAAAGAAACAAGAAGTTAGAACTATTTTATTAACAGCCTGACAAACAATAAGTTACAATGATAAAACTCGAGTTTGTTTATTTTTATATCTGATAATTAGCAAGAGAAAGTTACATACTGGTTTTTACTAATGATGTTGAGATTTATTATAATATTTCAATTAATTCCTATAATCATTTTAACTAAATACAATTTGAAATAATAATTATATATCTAATCTTCTAACACCGTCATCATTATACAATTATATTGGAAATAAACAATTCTTCCTTCAAGATAGTACATCGGTACAGGATGGGACCATAAACCGAGGAAATATCCTTCAACAGTTGGAAAGTTTATCCGGGTGTCTGTGATATTCTGAATTTGCCGATCCTTACAACACACCAATTTTTATAGAATACTAGTGGTACTTTTTAGGGTAGCGTATTTTCCCAAACCCACATAAACTCGTTTTGTTCAAACGTAAAGGAAATGTTTGACTAGACACTGCCTCAGAAACTTAATTTAGAATTGGGAGACCTCAAGACGACGAACCCCAAGCAGTTTGTTTAAAAAGTGACACACTTGCTTAAGGTTAGAACTCTATAAATCCAAGTCGTCTTTTAGTTTTGAAAAGTGGTCTGTTTAGATATATAAACTGCTCTGTCACAATCAAGTAATTTAATCTGTATAGAAATTACAGGTAGATAATTTCACCTGTCTCAGATGAGTCTGTTGAATCTTTCTAATTATAATAATTATTATTTCAGGTAAAAATCGATAAAATAATCTGAAGGGGAGTTAAAAAGAGTCAATTGTTAATTCAATGCTTCTATCAGCGAGTTAAACTCTTATTTTTCCTTCGTTATTTTTCAAGACGTCATTGTCATCTTCTTTCCTCATTCTTGTTGATCTTCAGACGTTTTTACACTGTTGATAGTTTTGTGAATTCATACTTTTTCCCCAACAGATTTTGTCGAAAGAGTTTTGAGGCCTCGTTATCCAGCACCGCTCGAGCTAACTGCCATACATGGCTTCCCATCTCAGGTTAAACGGGTCTCGGAGTTCCAAAGGAAACGGAAAGCATTTTGATGGAAGTTTTTGGCTAATATTCGAGATGGCGGAAATCATTATTAATGGTATTCTCGTTCCGATTATTATCCTTGACAACTTGCTGATTATTTTAGTCGTTAAACGGATGAAAAACGGAAGGAGACCAACGGATATTTTAGTCTCTAGTTTAGCCGCATCGGATTTGTTGGTCGGAACAGTAGTGTTACCGCTGGAATTATGGAGACATACCGAAACTTTGATGAAGGACACGCCAACCTCGGCGGTATATTTCTGTTATTTTGAGTTTAGTGTTTATCTTCAACCATTGTGTTGGCCGATTCAGAATATGTTTCTTGTCGCCTTGGAATGTCTCACGTCTATTTTAAAACCATTGTGGCATCGAGTTCATGTGAACAATGTTCTAGCACTTCGTGTCGCCAACGCCTCCTGGGTTTTAGGAGCAATTTACTTCATTTTACCCTATTTCCTTCTTCCGCTTGGCTTGAAAAAACGAGATTGCGCCTTAGCCGAAACTTTAAATACAAGTTTTATAACAATTTATCCCAATGCTATCTTTATTATTACAATTTTATTACATATATTTATTATCATATCTTCTAAAATGGTGAAAAGAGAATTAACCACAGGCTTTCGTAGAGATGTACGCTCTAGTGATATTTTAAAAATACTTTTAAAACAAGTGATATTTGTTTTGTTTGTGTTATTTTGAGGTCCCGTATCTTTCGGTGTTCTGATAAAAGAATTCGGTAATATGACAGAGTTTGATAAAATAATATTACGAATTCTCTTAACTCTGGCTCATTTCAATTCCCTTCTCAACTGTATCGTCTATCTGTTAAAGAGTCAAAAATTTCGACAAGAAATCAAGAAAGTCATTCGACTGCGGAGAAATCAAGTTGATACTTGATGTTGAAGTCAATGGAACTCGAAGGAACGATATTAAAACCATCAGTGTACGGACGCCTTTGGACGAAAATCAGTGGCTGGCACTAATGCCTGTGAAGTGATCATAGCGAATACCAGTACTCCCTAAAGACATTCTAATATTCTTCGCGGATTTCAAAGAACGCTGTGAGGATTTTAACTTGGTGACGGCGCTATTCTATCCGACCTTGTGTTGTATCGTATCCAGATCTTAATGTAAAACGATTCCCGACAGTTCAATGTTTAAGAAAATCAGGCAGTAGGCTTAAATTATCTCCCTTTAATAAACCAATCAATTATCCTCCATTATAAAGTTATACATGTTCATAATACATCAATATAAATTATAAAAATATACAGAATATAAGATACATTATAAATACAGTTTATTTCATCATTATATCATATTGTTTATTTCATTCAGTCTTTTCAAATCTGATTAAAATAGATCTACATCTCTGGATATTTATTTCTGTTTTTTTCTCGTGTCATCTCAACCATTCTTGTTAAAATAAAGTTCCATATATTTAGTTTCTTTTACTTTCTCTGGGCCACTTCATTAATTCTTCCCATTTTCAAGTTTGGCTTCGATGATAATCACATATTTCAGATACGAAAACAAATAAACGAAAACTAATCTAACTTTCCGTATTTCAATATTCACCACCAGTAACCTCTCGGTTTGACTTATCCAAGTACTGCTTGTATAAAAAAAACTGGTTACCATGACAATAATGACTACCATTATATCACTATTTTATCTTCTGAAGTTAAATTGTGTTGTTGGGGTTTTTTATTGGTTGATTCTAGATATATCTTAAAATACTTCACTTTTAAACAATAATAGAGTCCGGAATCTTTAACGTTTGTGTACTGGATACGAGGTAGAATATATAGATATATAGGAGAAACGAGAAATAATCATAATATTAGCATTATCACAGCCTACAGTTCCGTTATCAATAAAATCCAAAGATCGTTTTATCTTCTGTGTTTTCACTCATAGCATCACAAGTCTTCAGCTTTTCGGGGATGATAAAAGTTTTCACTTAAGATTTTGAGATACGAAACAATGTTATTAAAAAAGTAAAGTTTTTGCCCTAAATCCATTCAAATATGCGACCTTAAGAATTTCCCTCCAAAACCAGATGAGCTCAACTTAGAACCGAAGAAGTTTGTCTTTGCGAAAAGCTACGATTGGCTAAAAAATCACACGTGACTCTGATATGAACCAATCCACGTCAACTTTGTAATTTATGCCAACACATGATCTGTTTCCGGGGATTATGCATCATCTCCACCCATTGGTCCTTAGCATCACATTCAAAATTAGTGCCTAAATATAACCGACCAATCAACGCCTTCTTATCACTTTCTACGTCCTGATGAATCGCGGAAACACTGAGATAGACATTCTCCAGTTGATACTGAGGGACATCAAACGTTATACTTTCATTATAAACTGGATTTAAATCATTTGGTTTGACGGTGGTTTTAGCTTTTTTCATCTGTCGACCATCGTACATTAAAACAACCTTTACACAACAATCTACAAACAGACGATAATAGTTAGTTCTGATATCTGAATAATTTATATAAAACAGGATCATAGAAATTATATAAAACAGGATCATAGAATTATATACAACAGGATCATAGAAATTATATAAAACAGGATCATAGAAATTATATAAAACAGGATCATAGAATTATATAAAACAGGATCATAGAATTATATAAAACAGAACCATAAAATTATATAAAACAGGATCATAGAATTATATTAAACAGGACCATAGAAATTATATAAAACAGGATGATAGAATTATATAAAACAGATTCAACAAGGATGATAGAATTATATAAATCGGGATCATAGAATTATATAAAACAACAGGATCATAGAATTATATAAAACAGGATCATATAAATTATATAAAACAGGATCATATAAATTACATAAAACAGGATCATAGAATTATATAAAACAGGACCATAGATTTATATAAAACAGGATCATATAATTATATAAAACAGAATCATATAAATTATATAAAACAGGATCATAGAATTATATAAAACAGGATTCAACAAGCTCTGTACAGTGTATCGACAAGACTATGTACCTGGATTGACATTGACACTGGGTAAAAAAGGTCGAATTGGAATGTACCTACCCTACCCAAGGGAATGTCTCTTCACTATTAGGGAATGCCCCTACCCTACCCAAGGAAATGTCCCTACACTTTCCTACCTGTGGTGTTCTTTTGGGGGTCCATGACCTTTAACCCTTGAGCTTTAATAATAGTAATAGTGAGTTTCTCAGCTGTTGGTAAAAACATCAGGGATACGTTCATTTCGCCCAGGTTTTCCTGTTAAAACAAGAAAACGTTGCTTTGAATATTTTAAAATAAATGATAAGAGATTGGTTTTATAGCCTCGTGTTTCTCGTAAGTTATTTTAATTTCAACTTAACACCAACATCATTGCCCTTCCGGATATATTACTTGCTCCTCTAGATATATTACTTGTCTCTCTGGATATATTTCTTGTCCCTTCCGATATATTACTTGCCCCTCCAGATATATTACTTGCCCCTCCGGATATATTACTTGCCCCTCCGGATATATTACTTGCCCCTCCCGATATATTTCTTGCCCTTCAAATATATTACTTGTCTCTCCGGATTTATTACTTGCCCCACTGAATATATTACATGTCCCTCTGGATATATTACTTGCCCCTCCGGATATATTACTTGCCTGACTTTGATGGGAGAAAAAAAGCTTATGGTTTTACCTCAACTGGTTGTCCGATTTGTTCATCGAATTTTACTTCCGTTTGTGTCAGCCAATCAACTTTGGCCAACTGAACCACGACCTCGCCTAAAACAATATGGCGGGTATATCGATCAAAATCACAGATTAAAAGTTTGAGAGAATAGTTGCCGATTTCTTGTTGTTCAATTGATTTCGTGAAAACTTCGTTAAAAACTGGGTCATCACTTCGTCTTTGTATCTTCGTCTGTAATTCAACGTCTAAATTCTGACCAGAGTTATCTTTCCCTAGTTTCCCGCGGAAAGTGAAGAAGTTTTTTGGCGTTCTGTACAGACGAACTTTGATATACGGAGCCGTGGCGCCGTCTGGTTCTGTCGCGCTGAAATTCACTAATTGCTGTATTTTTATATTCAGTTTACTGTCAACACGGTCGTACATTAGAGTGAACAGAATTCGTCCGTTTAAAGGCACGTGTGTGGGTGTTGGTGAGACCGATCCTGTAGAACTTGAAGAAGAATATTTACTTGGATTTCTTTTCACTCGATCCTGAAATCAGATGAATATTTTATAAACCAGAGGAATTTTGCTCCAGAATAAAGGAATAAATTGTGAACCTCGAAGTACAAACTAATAAATACAAGTTAAAAAAGAAAGAATTACATCAACATTAGTCATTTCGACGTTAGATAATCAACCAGTCTGATCTGATAATGGGAGAGAACTCTAGAATTTAGGTGCCATAATCCTGTTTAACAGTTGGACTCACTCCACTAAAACATTTTATGCAAATGATTGTATAGGAATGTAGTCCAGGCTATTTTTAGAAATCTTCTTTTGTAGTCCAGGCTATTTTTAGAAATCTTCTTTCTCTCTCCCTTTTGGGGTTTTTGCCTGCCTATTTTTGGGTAAAATTTGGTCTAGATTTGGAATTTGATGTCTGAAATTGCATTATCTTTCAGATTTGGTGAGATGATGAGAGACTTAAAGGCGGAAGGCTAATTCTAAAAATAGTCGTTTTGTGAAGTGCCAAACTCTAGCGGATGAGTATAACCGGTAGTAGTCTACTTTCAATTTTAGTAGCTCAAAATTTTCATGGTCATCATATAATGAATTTTTTAGGAGACATTGAGAATTGGTCAGGCTTTCATTCGACATATTGGAAAGCTTTCAACGAGATTTCTGGAAAAAGTTATAGAAGGTTGAATTTCGTGTTTTAACATGGGAAGAGATGGCAAATGAATTAGTGGAGTGAGTCCAGTTAGAGTAGAGAATATCACAGATTGACCTAGTTTAGGGTATAAGTGAACCAAATAATCGCGATAGGTAAGATAATGAGACTAAAAACTGTGACCTAGATGCCATTAACCGGTTTAAATGTCTAAGTGGAAAATGACACAGAATAACCTAGTTTAGGCTTTTAATGACCCAGATAATCTGAATCAATAATCAATAATCAATAATCAATAATCCAAAAGTATTATCCTGAGTTTTAGAATCAATAACTGTTTAGTTTATTTCAACGCATGTCTTATATTAACCAGTGAAAAGTTTTAAATTGTTTTTCTTCTCCCAATTCACTGTCTAAAAATCTTGTTGAAGATATCAGGATTGTGGATTAGACCCTTAAAGTTAATTCATTCTCAAGCTTAGTTTCTTGCAAGTTTAACAATTTTAAAGTTTAATTATATCACAAATTCCCAAAAAGGGGAAACCAATTAAAACTTGTATCGGGATTTTAAACTTTGATGTAGAGGTTACGAACGGAGGATCCAAATGGGTTGAATAAGCAAACCATTTTGGACATAATGTTATAGGCCTTTTTGAGACCTGACACACACCCAATTATCCCAAAGAATCGTTATTATAAGATGACTCGTATCGGTCTCGTCTAGGTCCTAAATCAAAACTTACGTGTTTCAGTTCAATTACATCTCCAGTTCCGGCGTCCGACAAACTGTCCGACATGTCCGATTCTTTAAGCGTTCCCATGGTATGCCAGTATGCTGGAACCGGTTTCTCTTTAATGGTGGCACGGAATGGTTTACCCTCAGTTGAACCGTAAACAACGGCCTTTTCGACTGGAAGAGAAGGCGTTATTATTTAGATTCAAAAAACCTACTTTGACGTTACAGAGAAATATATTCTTACAAAACAAACGACCTATTATGAACGTTCCTCTAGGGCTTTCCAACAGTTTTAGCTCCAAGGAAACTGCCGAGGTTTGCCAAAGTGTCAGATAACCTCATTTAATTCAAATTTCGTTTGAAACTGAAAACAAAACGAAGACGACAAGCGGCACAAACTCAGATTCTAGGTAAGTAGTTATATATCCTGTGTTACTGATCCTATCGTGTTCGATAATGACGATGAAAGCTGATGATGATGATAATGAAGATGATAATATTGATGATGATGATGATCGTGGTGAATGATGAGCGAAATATTACGACCACAATGATGATTGGCGATGATGAATGATATGACCACAATGATGAATGATGAATGATAATGATGATGATGATGAAAACACTCCAATGATCATCATTCTTATCTAAAGATTAAATCAACTTACTTGGTTTTTCATCCTCTCGTAGGTTAAAAGGACAACATTTATACATATAACAATCAGGACTGAGAATACAGACTAGTATTAATACAGCTATAGCTAACAGAGTAAAAGCTCCTGCTACTATAGCCAACTGATCAAAAACATCTAGATGGACGTTAAATACTGTCTGTCCCGACATAACTAACCCATAGTTTTACTTTACGTTTATAACTTCGACATCATGTTAATCTGCAAAATATATAGAACACCAGTATAAGTTTTAGTATGTATTTTATGGAATATTAGGTGTATTATATTGAATGAAAATATATCAGTAGGCCATCCTTTAAAGTTATAATTTCGTGAAAAAGATATCTTATATCTCTATAATTAGCTAGTCAAAACTGATATTTTATAAATAGTGACAGAGTAAATAGGCCTATCGTTTTTTCTGAGCCATCAGAAATACAATACGTTATCATGATTCGAAGTTCCTGTTATCTAACGATGATGACAACTTGATGTATTAAATATTAAATATTATTTACAATGTTTATATGGAAGCCTACATCTACAAAATATATATTTAAAACTATTACAACAATGTTTAAAATCAATAGAGCAGTGAGTCAGTCTTAGTAACAGATGGTGACCCAATTTACTGACAACTTATTGCTGACAGTCCACATAAAAAACTATAGCTATTACTTGCTATAATCTTTTCCTCAAACATAAACAATATATTATGCTACCGGTGTTTTAGAAACACGAAACTCTTCAAGATGTTCACTCTTTTAAAACACCCGGTGTATTCTGTGAGAATGTTTTAATACAACTGATAGTTAATTGTAATAAATAATTATACACCTCATCTGGTTGTATGCAAGTTTTTATGACTTTGCTGCAAGACATTTATCATTAATCACACGGGGAATTTAAATGTAACATCTTGGACATGATCTCTTATCAATTTAATAGGAACGCTTGACGTAAAAACTCAATTCTATTTCACCTGTTTAGAGAGCAAACATATCAGTTTGCTGGGAGCAGAGGTTAATTTGTCATCTATCTACCAGCAAGTAAGTCAATCAACCAAGAAACCAACCAACCAACCAACCAACCAACCAAGCACGTAGTGTACAATGATGGACGAGTTCTGGTGTCTGGTGGAACGGATTATTAAAATTAATTTGATGTTTAATTCAAACTATTAAACGGTTGTTTTTTTCAACAATGATTCCTCAAACCTAACAGACTCAACTCAATATCATACCCTAGACCAAAACAGTTTTATAACTATTACAAGATTAGGCACAGCTGGGAAAGAAACTTCCACATTTTACAAAGAATAACAACTTATACCCTCGAGGATCCTGTCTTGCAGCAGGAAAGTTCCGAACCACTTAGCTATTTTACAAAAATAATAACTGAAGTTCACAGAGGATTCTATCTACCACCTTGTCCTTGGTCAAACCTCTTTTTTACAACCTAATTTTACAAAGAATAACAAATAATACCCTCGAGGATCCTGTTTGCCAACTGGGCTTAGGTCAAATCTCATTGCCAAGATTTTACACGAATAAAGTTGTCAAAGTTATGTGTGTAATTAACAAAACTCCAAAACTTCCAGAACTATAGTCCTATAGTTGATACAATGGTACAACTTTAAACTTTCTAATCTGTAAGTTTACGACATTAAACCGAACCTTGCTTAACTGTAATTTCGGGTGCAAAACTTGGTCTAAACTTACAGAAATGAAACTTCAGAAAAATTGAAAAGAACTTTAAACTTACCTTGTTGGCTCTACTGGTAATATGAGAATATCTCTCAGATCCTTGGTCTAGATGATCCGGTGAATAATTAATAAGAAAACTATATTAATTAAAAACAACGTCTAAATATAGATTGAAATTAGAACTCGTAGAAAAGACCAGAGAAAACTGTAAAATGGTCTGCGAATTACATTATTGTGGAAAACTGTCATCTGGATTTTAATCGAAATAGATATTGATTTGGTTAATATAGTCTCGATTATCTAAAATTATTAATATATAATGCAATTTACGGCTGGATAATCAATTATACTGCCCGGTCCAGATGGTGCCGTCACGTGATATATTTATATTATGCATTATATTATACAATATTAAACTGTTTATATCGATTATAGATGGTTCTATGTTCAAATAAATAATATACCACCGTTATACACCATTGACATCTAATAATAATTCTATACTGAGTTTTACAATATTACTCTAACCTAATTTCAGATTGGCCAGAGTTCAGGTTTAATCTATATAATAATAATAATAATAATAATAAAGTTTATTCAAGTACTATACGACTTTCGTCATGGTACAAACGTTAACAAAAATAGATTTGAATTTTCTAATAAAGAAAATGCATATAATAAAATAAATTTCAAATATAGAATAGACAATAAAAATTTAAATATCAAGTATAGTATAATAATAGATAATAATTTTAATTTCAAATACATTATATACAAAATAATAATCTAGATTTCACATATTAATTAATTATACAAAATAATAATCTAGATTTCACATATTAATTAATTATACAAAATAATAGTTCAAACTTTTAATTAAGGCAGGTATATACAATAAGTCGATTGTATAAAATTCATGAGAGTATTTCTTGTCTAATATCTAATCCTTTTTTTATGTACAAAGCTAAGTTTTTTTTGGACATCTATAGATTTGCTTGTAAATAGAGATTTAAGTTTGAAATCGTTTGGGTTTGAGTGACAATATTTTAGCACTGGACAGACAAGTATGAAATGGTATTCTGTTTCTACCTGTTTATGATTGCAAATATTACCGTACATAATCTAGCATGAAATGGAATGTTATGATGTCTTCCAAGTTCTACATTTAATTTATGCTTTGAACATCTAAAATTAGCCAGATGAAAAATTTATTTATAATTTAATCTATGAAAATAACTTAGAGAGCGGTTAACTTTTCACGAGACCACTGTAATATTGAACACTAAGACGTAAAACTTCATTTCCAATTATGTTATATAGTTTGCTAGTTTGTCGGAACGTTCGGACTATATAAGTCATAAACTTCATTATAAAAGTGACGAAATGAGTAGAAATGTGTTCTGTTTGATGATACTGACGTTTTAAAAAAGAAATAAGTTTTTAATATATGACATAGAAGTTAAAAGGTTTATATTATTTTATTTGAATTGTGATCATATTTATATTTCGTTTTGTATATAAAATTCTGCTGATCATTTCTCAATATTAAGGTAGCCACAACTTCCGGAAGATTGAAAAATTATTGAAAAATTCTTAATTTTCGTCAACAATTTTACCAAAAATAGAATTTCCTGAATAATAACAACCTAGCATGTATATTCACTGAATTTTCGACTTTCGAAATGGATCTTTTTGGCGACCTGCCAGAGCCTGGTACGTGACGTAAAACTCGAAATAAAATATCACCGATATTAAATAGTGACAGTGTCTTTGTTTTGCATAAATCAATACTGCTTTTGAAGTAAATTATAGTTTGGGATTTTGACAGTATACGGTTTTAAACCCTTTCTTTAAGATCTTTCCTCTACTGTCAATGGTGTTACAATAAGCTAAGGCTCTGTGTGCCACATGCTGAAACTAAAACTAAATTGAAAACATCCCTCATATTTGAATTAAATCAAGCTTACTGCATTCAACATGAATACTGCATTAACAATTGTTTATAGCTAAAATACTAAAACAGGGGCAGTGAAGTGGGGTGTCAAATTATACTCTCATAGAATAAGAACAGAAGTTATAAAATATGTATGTTTTTTCAGAATCTGGTAGCAGTGCTAGAGTTGGAGAGAAAAGACGAAGTAATGAAGATAGTCACCATGGTGATATTCCAACAGAGGAGAAGAAATCTAAGCTCAATGATTTACAGACCACAACTCAAACCACTTGTTATAAATGTACATCATTCATTAGTTTAAGTTGATACAGTCTTCTCAATATTTCCTTTAGCAGGTCATAAAACATAATTACAGCTATCTCTAGCTCTTTTCAATGCTTATTACTAGTTGAATGTACATGAATGAAAGATATTTTGAACTGTTAAAACTGAAAGTTACGATTTCAATCATGAATTATAGTTATTTTTCCAGGTAAATATAAACTGAAAGGTTTTGTAGCTGCTCAGAAAGGAGAAAGAGAAGAAATGCAAGATGCTCATAATATTTTAGATAATTATACATCACAATTTACTCAACTACATCCTTCTGTGTAAGTCTCTTTTTATTGATTGGATCAAACATTTTTAAGAACTATAACCATAAGAACACCTGGTGTGCCCAATAACATCCACTCCCTCTCCTAACGTATTTTTTTTACTAGTAAAATCAACTTCTGAATATTTTGTAACAGAAAGCACTCCTGGTTGATTTAATTTTGAATTGTATATTTCAGATCACGTCTGGGGTTGTATTGTGTTTACGATGGTCATGGTGGTTTACGAGCTTCAAGGTTCGCTTCCCAGAAATTGCCTTTACTTCTTCAACATAGTTTTCCTACCGGTACTGTGGCAGGCTCTTTTTCAACCTTACTCTGATCTTCTTGTTTAAAGAATATATTCGTGGTATATTTATTGAGAAATTTGACGTAGCTCATGTCAAATAGAAATATATTTAACGGTTTGCTGCTTGGCACTTCCATCAGATTGAAATAGAAATATATTTAACGGTTTGCTGCTTGACACTTCCATCAGATTGAAATAGAAATATATTTAACGGTTTGCTGCTTGGCACTTCCATCAGATTGAAATAGAAATATATTTAACGGTTTGCTGCTTGGCACTTCCATCAGATTGAAATAGAAATATATCTAACAGTTTGCTGCTTGGCACTTCCATCAGATTGAAATAGAAATATATTTAACGCCATTGCAGCTTGGCACATTCATCAGATTGAAATAGAAATATATTTAACGGTTTGCTGCTTGGCACTTCCATCAGATTGAAATAGAAATATATTTAACGGTTTGCTGCTTGGCACTTCCATCAGATTGAAATAGAAATATATTTAACGTTTTGCTGCTTGACACTTCCATCAGATTGAAATAGAAATATATTTAACGGTTTGCTGCTTGGCACATCCATCAGATTGAAATAGAAATATATTTAACGGTTTGCTGCTTGGCACTTCCATCAGATTGAAATAGAAATTTATTTAACGGTTTGCTGCTTGGCACTTCCATCAGATTGAAATAGAAATATATTTAACGCCATTGCAGCTTGGCATCCATCAGATTGAAATAGAATTATATTTAACGCCATTGCAGCTTGGCATCCATCAGATTGAAATAAGAAAATGAAATTGAAATTACAAGATTTCTCGCCTGGGGAAGAACTCAATATCTGGAAAAGAAATTTCAGGTTGACAATCGAATACAAAGCTAAAAGGGTAGAATTAGATTTTAGCTGGTTTGTTGGTGTAGAAGATTTTGTTGACTGAAATGCTACGACTGTTCTGTTATTTGAATGAATATAATACTGATAAGAGTCCATATAAGTTAATCGGCCAGTGTTTTGGATACTGAAAGCATAATCAGTACAGCATGGTTTATCATTCTCAAATTTCGATTTGATATTTCAGGGGAGGTAACTGTGGTTGAAAAAGAGATAAAAAAATGTTTTATTGAAGCGTTTAAAAAAGTTGATGAAGAATTTTTACAAATGGCTATTGGTGGTAAAAAGTATGTTTTACATTTTGAGTTCATATTTATATATCAGTTTATTGTAATTTCCATGGAAACTTTCAAATGAAAACAAAGAAATTTCTTTCTAAAGTTCTAACAAGAGATATTTTTGATGAACAATTTTTGAGTTATTGCCCTTGACTTTGTAAACACGCGTCAAAAGTTGTTTTTTGCCCTTGATTAGAGCTGTGTGATTTAATTGTTTGTTGTATTTGGGTTATTGATATTGATTTTAAAATATTTTGTGGAATTATTCAGCATAAATAATTTCTTCAATATGAGAAAATTCGTACTTTAGTCACTAAAGACTGTTTTATTATTTCTGACAGCTGCCAGTGGGCATATGTTACTTTGCAACGCAAGGTATCTTTTATATTTCAGTAAACCTTCGTGGAAAGATGGTTCTACAGCTGTTTGTGTTTTAGTTATAAATGATACATTATATATAGCTAATTTAGGTGATAGTAAGGTTAGTCCTCTCTTCATTTCACTGTAAATAGCTAATTTAGGAAGGTTTGGGTGGAGGTATATAAGAATTTGTGTCTCAACTGGTTTTTAGGAAGGTTTGGGTTGGGGGTAGTATAAGAAGTTGTGTCTCCCCTGATTTTTAGGAAGGTTTGGGTTGGGGGTAGTATAAGAATTTATGTCTCAACTGGTTTTTAGGTAGGTTTGGGTTGGGGGTAGTATAAGAATTTGTGTCTCAACTGGTTTTAGGAAGGTTTGGGTTAGGTGTAGTATAAGAAGTTGTGTCTCCCCTGGTTTTTAAATTATTTCAGGCTGTGTTATGTAGATATAATAAAACTACCAGTAAATATACAGCTGTTGCCTTGACAACCGATCATAGTCCAAGTTTATACCAAGAGAGAATTAGAATACAGAAAGCTGGAGGAACTGTCAGGTAGATTGGATCTCCCTTTAATAACATCACCAATTTGTTAGTCTTGAACTTTCTAATTAAATCAAAGAATCTGTTAATGAATTAAAATCAGAGTTTTGCATCCAAGTGGATTATTCGATGCAGTGTTGAATGAGGGAAACTTAGACGGGACAGCAACATTAGCCTACTCTCAATTGATTTTGTACTCTTTATTTGTCAGTTCCCTTGACCTGTATACAATATTGAAGATATCAACGTTACTTCTTCTCAGATTGACCCTAGACTTTACGGTTAGCGAGGTGCGTTTGGCTTCCTGGACCACCTCACACAGCGCAATTATTATAAATAAAGTTATGTCCCCTGTTTTATAGAGATGGTAGAGTAATGGGTGTATTAGAAGTATCAAGATCTCTAGGTGATGGTCCGTATAAACGTCATGGTGTTACGTGTTTACCAGATATTAAACGTTGTCAACTTACTGATGAAGATAGGTATGTTTTATTATAATAAACTCATGATATGATTATCAAATCTCAAAATAATAAGGAAATCAATCAGTACTATGCTCTTTCATCAGGACAGTTTTTAAAATGAGGGTTAACTTGTTGATCTTATTGATCACCATATTAAAATTCTATTTTATTTAGATATTTAATGGTAGCTTGTGATGGATTATGGAAAAGTTTTAGTATGGAAGAAAGTATTAAATTTGTTAATAAAATATTAGATGTAAGTTGAGGTGTATTATTTTAAACAGACTAATGACTAACTTGTCAGGTTTGTGACGTCCCTTTACAATGGCTCAAATATAAAAAAGATACAAATAGACAGTTATCGTGCCAAGGATAACAAGTAAGTTTTAACACCCAATTACAGTAGACCACAAACCTCTTAGCATTGATCTTATCCAATGTTTTAACACCCAATTACAGCTGGGTCTACTGGGTAATGGACGAAAGAGGAAAGTTACCAGAATTTCACACCCCTACTGAGATTAAAATATACGACCACCTTATATTCGATATAACCAAACAAATGATGTCAAATTCTTACGGTCTAACTAATAATGTTATATTATATAGCTGACGAGTTTATATATCTATATTTTTACAGAATAAAGAAGAAGAAGAGAGTAAATATGAAACAGCATGTAATAAATTAGCCAGTGAGGCCGTGTTAAGACTGAGTGGAGATAACGTCACTGTTTTAATAACTTCTATTTCTAAATTTTCTTAATATTATTATTGTTATTTTACTCTGATTTCTTTACTTTCTTCCTGGGGTAAAACTGTCTGGGCTAGAGAGAGAGAGGGGGGTGAAACTGTCGGGGTTAGAGAGAGAGGGGGTGAAACTGTCAGGGCTAGAGAGAGAGGGGGGTAAACTGTCTGGACTAGAGAGAGGGGGGTGAAACTGTCTAAGCTACAAAGAGAGAGGGGGGTGAAACTGTCTGGGCTAGAGAGGGGGGGTGAAACTGTCTGGGTTAGTGAGAGAGGGGGGTGAAACTGTCTGGGCTAGAGAGAGGGGGGTGAAACTGTCTGGATTAGTGAGAGAGGGGGTTGAAACTGTCGGGCTAGAGAGAGAGGGGGTGAAACTGTCTGGGCTAGAGAGAGAGAGGAGGTGAAACTGTCTGGGTTAGAGAGAGAGGGGGTGATACTGTCTGGGCTAGAGAGAGAGGAGGTGAAACAGTCTGGGCTAGAGAGAGAGAGGGGGTGAAACTGTCTGGGCTAGAGAGAGGGGGGTTAAACTGTCTGGGCTATAGAGAGGGGGGTAGTGGGAGGGGAAGGGGTATGTACAGTAGTAGAAGATATTAGACAAATGAGTTTAATTAACACTCTACTAAGAAATTAGACTATCTGAATATCCACACAATAAAACAACATAGTTAATTTTATGAAAGCACAGAGTTTAATATTTTTGGGTAAATAATAAAGATTTGAAACACAAAGAACATGTAGGAAGGTTGTTAAAATTTGACAATTTATTCAGTTTTATTTTAAACTCTGATCAGGACAATAACAATAAAACTATACAGAGTAAATATATCGATATGAATTATAATAATAATAATAATAGAAATCAATGCTACATGAATAGTGCATAACACAAAATATATATAGAAAAAAACATGCACAGTTTAAATCTATAAATTAAACAATCTATTTTATATATTAACAGGGAACATTCCCTCTGTTCTTTTTCTTCTCCTAAACTGGCAGATGAGTTAAAAGACTGAAGCCATTTACTAAAAATATCATGTTCTCATCCTGCATATTTGCGGCTGCTTTCTGAGCAAAAGAAAATAAATACTTTAATGGTGTGTATTATATTACTTAGTATATCCTCTCCTAATTTAACATTATTATCACTAAGATTATTGTAATATCATTATTATTACATTATGAACACTGTTAATACACAGAAATCTTTTAAACCAGATCTCTACATCATAAACTACCATATAATTTGAGATTTAACATCATACAAACTAATGAAATAATATATTTTTGGCAAGATTTTGGTGGAAGACTAAGATATTTATAAATCCCGGAAGCTCAAATATAAATAATAAACGACTTTATCAAATAATTAATGAATAAACAAATAAACAAATAATGTAATTATAAACTAAATTTAGTTTGAATGTGTAATGGTCTGTGAGATGTATATTAATATAAAGATAATTATAGTCCCAACAAATTTATCATACTCATTAGATTCTGATTCAAAAAATAAACACGAACAGTCCACGTTTCAGGTTTTAAATCAGACTCAAATGAGGGAAATATCTTTACTCAAATATATAACATCTCAAAACATTTTTAAAAACTATATCAATATAAATGATATAATGATGAAACCATGTTTAAGGTAAGTTTAATAAATTTTGAGGTAGAAATTCTCAGATTCCTGTTATAGTTCGTTTATCAGTTCACTTTCCTTCTAGTGTGAATTTTATGAGATTCATTGATTTAATAACGGATCCAAATAATTCAATAAAGATTTCGTGTAATTTTAGAAAAAAATTAAATATACATGGAACTATTTTAAAAAACGTACCTAAAATTAACAAGTATTTTTTATAAAAGATAGATCTTAATTCAGAGATTCATTGATAAGAGATCAGATTCAGTATTCTTCAGTATTCTTAAGACTTCAAGAATCTAAAATTGTTATTTTCGATAAATTTTTGATAAATTTAAAAGCTTGAAGCAAGCTGCCAGATAAATACACAAATTGAAAGAGATAAACAATATATACAAGATTTCTTCAGTACAAGATAATTTGGCAAACTGTAGAAGCAATTATATAAAAATTTATAGAAAAATAATAAACTTTTCTTGAAATTGTAACAAAATTTGGCAAAATTCAAGATAGCTTGCCAGGCAAGGTAATATACGCCCACTGGCAACTTTGATTTTGAATAAAGATATTTAGCAGTACAGTAACAATCACCAGTATGAAATATTCAACCTTCAGTCATACACTTCTTTTGAACTCTTTAGGGCGATACTGAATAATATTGAGTATGAGTTATTGCCCTTGTTCTCGAAAACGTGTTCAATTTTTAGCTCTTGAACACTCTAGAAGGCAAATATTCAATCTTCAGCATGGTACTGAATAATAAAACCGGCAATAACTCGTACTAAATAATTTTTAATTCTTATGATTTTCAATAGGGTTCTCCCTTGGGTGATTATGAACACTCATGCAAAGTTTCATTAAAATCCATCAAGAATTGTGCCTTCTAGAGTGTTTACGAGCTACAAATTGAACACGTTTTCAAGAACAAGGGCAAAAAATATTTTTCGATTCTTCTGATTTTCAATAGGGTTCATCCTTGGGTGATTACGAACACTTATACCAAGTTTTGTCAAAATCCGTCGAGAATTGTGTCTTGTAGAGTGTATACGATCAATTGTGGACGGACGGACATGGGTGACAGCAATATACGCCCCCCATTTCATGTAGGCGTATAAAAATGAATGATTATTATAATAGAAAAATAATACAACAGACGATAGGTAAGCAGAGATATTTGGGTCAGATTAAATAGTAAATGAAATAGACCATTAGCTAGACTTACTTAGTGGTCATAACTAATTAACATACCTCACCACAAATATCATTAACTATAAAATAAATACTGAAGAGATAGAGCTGTAGAAATAAATAATAAAAATACACAAAAATAACCCTCAGAATATATAGCATGCAATATTTTATAAATATATTGAAAAATAATAATAACTAGGTTTAATAATACAAAAGATAGCTTGCGTTGCAAGGTAACATACGCCCACTGGCAGCTGTCAGAAATAATAAAACAGTCTTTAGTGACTAAAGTATGAATTTTCTCATATTGAAGAAATTATTTATGCTGAATAATTCCAAAAATTTTTTTAAAATCAATATCAATAACCCAAATACAACAAACAATTAAATCACACAGCTCTAATCATGGGCAAAAAACAACTTTCGACGTGTGTTTACAAAGTCAAGGGCAATAACTCGAAAACCGTTCATCAAAAATGCATCAAGTTAGAACTTGTCCGAGATCTTATGAATTCCAATGATCACACCAAGTTTCATCAGAATCGGATGAAAACTGTAGCTTCAATCCTGCTCACGAACAATTTTTAACAAATTTCAAGGCGTTCTAAGTCAAGGGCAATATCTCAAAAACCGTTCATCGAAAATATGTCAAATTCGAACTTGACCGAGATCTTATCAATCTAAAGCATCACACCAAGTTTTATCAAAATCAGATAAAAACTGTAGTCTCTATAGTGCTCACAAGAAATGTTGACCGACGGACAGGGGAAACGACAATATACGACCACATATTCATGTGGGCGTATAAAAATAAAGTATGTCTCAAGCAAAACAGAGACAAGAGAAAGAATCAGTATACAAATATCAACATGGCCTCAAATTAATATTTTTTCCATCTGCTGTAAGAACTTCAGATTTTCAAAACTTAATCAGAAATTGTTTCATCAAAAATCTTTGTTACTCCAGCAGATCATTCAACTTAAAATAACAAAATCAATAGTTTCCAGTTTGCATAGGTTTAACAGCTCATAGCCAATCAGATTTAAGTAAAGATTTGCTGGTTATGGTATAGAAACTTCTGATTGGTCAATATTTATAGTTTTGATTATGATAAATTAAGTAACTGGTCGAATATACTACAGTATATGAATTAAAAATTATTCTATGATTTTATCTTTATAATATCATGAAAATTTAGATTTGAATATTTGTTTGTTGTTTTTTGTGTGATTAAAGATATCATAGATAATAACACGTATTGAATACAATCAATGTACATTCTGAAAGAAGTTAGCTTTATCTTTAAACGCCTGTTTCCTCACTTTCGCCTCCTCGGCCTGTACCTTTCGTTCTTCCTGTTCCTGTTTGATTTCATTTTCAAATTTTTTATCTGCTGACTGAGCCTCAATCTGAAAATAAAATAATAGTGTTTTACATCCTACTGTATTCAATACTTAACTGAAGGTGACATTGTCCTACAAAAAGTAATACTTCTCAATCCATCATAGCAGATGATTTTCCAGCTCCCCCAGGGATTCTGTGATAACTTACTGACTCGCCCCCCCTACAGATTTAATCGCTACCAATTATCAGTGAGTCTTCTATAGAAAAGAATTTGAACTATTAAGTAGTCAATGCCTGAAGATTTTGAAAAGTTCCCAGGCCTTTACCTGATAATTTCAGATAGTAGACTATGATAAAAAATGTTGTCGTGTTTAAAAACTAACCTACCTTAGATTGAAAGAAATTTTTAGCTCCACCCACTCCCTCCACGTCAACGTCGATTTCTGTGACGTTTTTATATAATTCTAATAAACCACTATCTTCACTTAATTCTCCATCACCAGCCTTTCGAAATATCAACAAAAACTAAAATAAAAAATATCATCTTTAAACTCTAGAATTCTTAACTATATATAAAAATAACATCCGAGATATTAAAAATTAACTTTTACTCTTTAGACTTATTTACAATGTCAAGGAATAACAAATTATGTCTAACACCTTGACATCACCAGGCATCTTTCTTGTAACATGGAGTTATGTTTTGATTTGATTGGATTATACACTAGTGAATATAGCCAATCAGAGACACCAGCAGAAAGACTGAAAAATATGGCGGCACATGTAACTACTACTTCTCGTCTGTCATCTTAGACACCATTTCTTTAATGTCTTTTCTCAGCATCAGCAACAATGTGATGTAATAAAACAGCATCATAACCAAGCGAGCTACTCCCCTCCACAAATCAAATTAAACCTCAACCAACCTCTCTAAAACTAATTAAACTATCATGGTCTTCATCAACTTCTTTAATCATTGATTTTAAAGATAGGTGGGTCTGGGGAGCTCCTAGTTTCTCCATCATCAATTTTAACTCAGTAAAATCTATAAAATTATCATTTCCTACATCATATCTAGAAAATAATAAATAAAATATTCATATATCTATAATAATAATACAATTATAAAATCTAGAATGGTATAGAAATATCAAAACAGAATCTGAAACATGTTGTTACTCAAAGTTTCACACTATGTGATCTTCAGACAACTATAACAGAATCTGAAACATGTTGTTACTCAGAGTTTCACACTATGCGATCCTCCAAAGATAATAAGGAGCTTATAATATAACAGCACAGCATGAAACTCTGAGTAGTAACATGTTTGTATTTGTATGATAGTAGCCTACAATATAACAATACATTCTACAGAATTTACAACTGACTGACTCTTATCGAAGGTGTGATATTAAGATTAGTATAAATATCTAGTTACTCGTTTCAACATAAGGTAAGAGGAAGTCTTACGTTTTACTTCCTATACAAATACAAACAATATCATAGAAAAATTTCCCTCAATTTACAAATTGCAGGACATTACCTGAATTCATTGACTTAAAGTAGTAGAGATGAACTCAATTACAGTGGTGTAACCTATTTTCGTGGATATAAGGATTCAACACTGAATTACGTCAAAGTTAAAAAAACGAATTTTTTTTTTTATGTCTTAGGTGTTTCCTCAGATATTCTACCAAATAATTAAAATTGGTTTATTTCGATTTTCTTTATAAATCCTTCACTTTGACCCATATTTCATGAGTAACCAACTGGGCAACGGCGTCAGAATGCGTCACCTATTTTCGTGTACAATGTTTGATCTATAAATAAGTCGAGAAAAACACGTTGTATGGATACCGGGTGGTAAAATTAACTCCTCTTAGTATTTATCTTTAATATCAATTCATTATAACTAGTGACAATTCTTTCAAAGAACCATGATTTAAAAAAAAAATTGTGACTGACAAAATTTATTACTAAAAGTCACTGAAACAACATAAGAATATGGTCCACTTTGTGTTCCATAGAAATTTTCTGCTGACACGGATTCCCCTAGTTGATCACGTGACTTCATTCGTTGTAATATATTCTAGCAGACGACATTTGGAATTCCGATTACCGCTTGGGATTATAAGGAAATTCGGCCGATATTAAAAATGGTGACGTTTGGTAATAAGTGAAATCCGCCATTTTGTATTTGTCAAAGTATACAGTAATACATTTTACCTTGCTTGAAACTACTGGATTCATTCTACTAGCTGATATTGAAGAGAAAACCCATGTATATTAAAACAACCTAATGCGGAGGTCACGCAAGGTCGCTCATGTAAATTATTAATCGTTTCCAGAAATCACGAATAATAGGTTTCCACGAAATTAGGTTACTTGACTGTAATGCTCACTTAACTAAATTTAAAACTTGTTTTACAACATTTACTGAGTTTCAGCTACCGGTACCAAAAGTTTAAGTCGAACGCTACAGAGCCCCACCCTGGACGATGTTAGAATCTAACAAATATAGACTAAATAAAAACTTACTTTTTAAATATTTTCTGAAAATCCTTGATCTGTTTTCGACTGAACTCTTTAAATTCTGTGTAGACATTAAAAACTTTTTGAGACGATTGTTGAATTTTCGCCTGTTCTTCTTCGTCACCCTCATTCAAAACCATTCGGCGGTTAAGTTTGTTAGCTAACTCATCCGTCGCCATTTTGTAAAACTTAAAACCTCGCCCAACACACAAACTCTGAAGAAATGGCGAAGAATTCAGGATATTCTTAAAACTTCTTTCAGTTTTCTTCCTTAATCCACCATTACGGGGAAATCCTTGTCACGTGACATACACGTCATGGAATTCCCTTCATTTAAGTCTTGATCTATCTAGACGCTAATTTCAACCTGATTTTATTCTTGTTTATCAGGGTAGTTTAATAATTATACTAGTGTTTAGAATGTTTTCGCATCATTACAATTATAACTAATGGAAGTGGGGGATAGTAGCAAGGATTTCATTTTTAAAACTGATAATGAGATATGTATTCAACTATCGTTTTCAGGTAGTAAACAGTTGCTTCTTATAATACACGTTTATTCATAGTTTCTTTTACAAACATAACCCTTCAAAACGCACCTCGTAACTGTGCCCCTTTTGTAAAATATAATTTTTAAGTATTTCTAGGTATTAACAGTTATATAATTATAGTCTATATTATTACCTTGATGACGTCACGTGTTTTTACCTGTATAACAGTAAAATAGCAACCAATCAAAAGTGTAGAAATTGTCGTCGCGCTGTGACATACCTGACTAGAGTAGGGCTATATCAAACTAGTCGACTGTATTTATATTTTCTATGTCGAATGAATCATACTTCAACATGTTTCAGCTATTGTTTATTAGTTTAACAACATTCAACTTGCATCGTGGTGAATTTTAAACACAATTCTTCTTCATTTATTTTCAAATTTACAGTGAAATAATCAAGCGTATAAAAGAAAGTGTTCTTACGTCACTGTGAAAATATTCTGTTATCATCGTGAAAGTGTTCTGTTATCATCGTGAAAGTGGTCTGTATCGAGTGTTATTTGGATTATGGTGTCATCTCTGTTACAGAAACTCAAACTATCGTGATATTTTACATCTGACTTTAAACTTTTACATTCTAATGTAACATTCAGTTGTCGTCTGCTGCACCATGGCGGAGGATGGCTTCCATATTTCCCGCGATTTAACCGGAATTCCTAAGAATATCCTGGGTAAACGTCTTGTGGAACTATCCTGCTATCATGCAATTCTACAGAAACTAGGAGTCAATCTGTATACTGATATTCGGGGAGAGGAGGGCAACTGGGAACGACTGGCCGAGGAACTAGGAATTTCTACCTATAATGAGATAGAGAATATCCACCGTCATGCTTCTCTCGAGAAAGTATTTCCAGGAAGTGTCCTGTTAAAAAGATGGGCCGATCATTATGGAAGCACCGTCTACGTCTTACTTCAAGCACTGAAAAAATTAAGGCGGGAAGATTGTGTGGAGGACGTCTGCAAATTCCTAGAAGGTTTGTTTTTTAAATCTCTATTTTAAAACATAAATCTGGCGGTGTTTTTTTTTGTTAAATAAGCGTGCTGGTTTTAACTCTAAAAACTAGGTGTAAAATTCTGATAAATTCAACTAAAACCCCCATGTAATGAAGGTAGTATATCGGAAGTCTTGTAAAACCCATTCGTAAGCATCTTAGAAATATAATGTATGTATTGTTGGGATGAATATTCAGGTAGGCTTATATAGGTCAAAACATATCGTTTATCACATTACAACCTGGTACAACTTCCTCTTTCATATCCCTGTTATTATTATTTTATATTATATCCTTATTCTTACTCTCTAGTCTTCTTACTACACTTGTCCACTCTTCTTAAAAAAACATCACTTAATTTATTTTGGAACCAGTATCACCCATAGCATACACTATTTTAATAAAGTTTTATCAGGACAATAAGATCTAGTCAAGTCATCTATAAAATTTGTACAATAAAACCTTAAATATGAGATATAATGAAGACCTTATTAAACCCTGAATTATATAAGATTTACCTGGGATAATAGGGTTAATCGAGAGCGTGGGAGGGGGTTAAACTCTAGCTAGTAAATAAACGACGAAAGTCATCCCCAGGCATGTTCTTCTTTTGTTTAACATCGAAACAGTCATTAAGCTACTCCCACGCATATTTGTCAATCACCGAATGAATGAAAGAAACAATGAATGACATGGGATGAATAAATAGGACGCGTTGACCCATTTGAATGTCACAGTGTTTATACCTGGTTTGTCTCTCGACATCTAAAATCCGGTTTCTCCGAAAAATTAAAATAAAATTTATTGTTATGGTGAATAGATTTACAAAAAATACCAAAATAAACATTTTAATAGAGATACATAGTTGATAAACTAAGTCGGTAGAGAGGCATTAGGTGTCGTCAATTCCTTCTGTCAAAATAGTTCTATGAATTAATAAATCTATTAATAAACTTGTAAAAATGTTTGTAGTAAGCGAATTATTGATATTGTGAAATTTATATAGAAATGAATGAAATATCACTTGACTATAAAAAATCAGTAATATTAACCAGTGATCAATAATTAGACAATGTGAAGAATGTAGAGATCGATATTAGATACTGACTCACTGTAACAATTGATACACAACGCTATATATTTTCTTACATATTTACAGATTGTCTTTATATTGTCTTTATATAAACGTTTATTGTACGTTTTATATATTGAATCTGTAGTTTATTACCTGTACTGCAAGTAAACATGATATAAAATTGTAAAATATAATAATAAGAAATAATGTCATTGAAAGATCTCGAAGTTGAATGTAAAAAAATTAAAAATCAATAATTGTATGAATCAGACTGTAGACTGTAGACGAGTCATTATAAAAATTAGTCATCAATCTTACCTGAGACTTTATTAACTAGTATTCACCTAGCTAGTATACCTAGTAGTACTACAGTGTATAACAGTCGGGTATGCTGACACCTACAGTAGGTACTAACCATGGCATTTCAGGTATAGAAATCATTGTATTTATTATCACTTTTACTTTTTAATGTTACAGGTGTGTTAAGAGTAAATATTAAATAATTTTGACATCATAATGGTTTTATTGTCGGTTTGTTGGCCTATGTCTTATAAACCATGTTTCCGGTTCCAAAACGATCAGGCCCAGTCTATAGATGAATATTAATATATGTATTAATGTGTTATTTTACATATTCATGTGTTATTTTATATATTCATGTGTTATTTTATATATTCATGTGTTATTTTTATTTTGGGCTGATCAAATAATATCATAATATAAAATTAAAAACAAAATTTAAACGTGACATGGTTCCGTTATTGATTTGTAGGCCTATATATATAGACCTAAATAGTTCCCAAACGATCTGTTTATTATTATTATTATTATTATTATCATTATTATTATTTATGTATTAATTTATTATTTTTTGTGCTGCTTTCCAGTCGAGAATTGTTTTTCGTCCACAGGTCAGTTTTTACTGTCAGTTTTTTTTTCACTTAGTCCAGGCTGAACATTATTTTATAGGTTTAGATGTTTGGTTTTTTTCTAGTTTTTTGTTGAGTTCTTATTATTTATTTTAATTTTGCTGATCTTCTCTATCTCTATAGTTGATTTCTTACAAACTTTTTATTTTAAACTGTCTGTTTTAAACAGTCTGGTTTGTCGTGAAACTGAAGTAAGAAGGGCCTCATAAACTAAACTTCACGACACAAATGTCAAATTTCAAATCATTTCCTTATTATAAATTTTTCAATTATATAATTCAATCTTCAAACAAGATTTTATAAAATAATTAATTGAATCTTTTATCTCGAATCAATCCACGTTCCCTTAATACTATTAAAGTTCAGGAAGTGAAAACTAGGCTAAGTTAAATCTATTATAATCGAATTGAATACCACGTGATATTTGAACTAATTTCTATATAATAATCTGTCCTTTATTCAATTTTAAAATATTACAACAACAAAACTTTGAAAAGATCAACTAAATTTAGATTAAACGATTCACTTGAGAAAACTTGAATAATTCTGACGATTAGAACAGAATGGTGAATATTTGTTAGACACCTAATTAGTTCCGAGAATTGATAAATAGTTGCCTACAGACACCCCCCCCCCCCCTCCCCCTCACCTTCTCCATCCCTACCCCTCTATTATCTATGTTACATCATGATTAGTAAGAAGCTGACATCAGCAAATTACCTGCTCTATTGACTCTAGTTATTAACCCTCACTGTTCAACTGATAATTAGCCCCCTGTCTCCTGTCCACTAATTTATTTGACCAATAGCTTGACTAGTTCTTTTGTAATTTTAATATTATATAAGTCGCTGATGTCATGAATGTTGCTGAAATCAGCATTTTGTAAACGTGGATTATGTTTTTTAGAAATCAGTAGGCTACATGAATGAGTAAAACAGCCTTCCTGCTTAAATATTCTCTTCCACTAAGTATTACGATTACCCATGTCATTCTATATTACTGCTAGATAGGATAGATTGTAGACAACACACATGCTATTAAATTCATGCATAAATATCTACAGATAGATACAAGTGATAACAACCAATAAAACGTTATTTATTTTTTCTCATCGAAGAAATTGTAAATGGATACAGAATAATCAGTGAAATATCTAAAATATGGAAGTTAATAAATCAGATATTATCACCTTACAATACGATAATAAACAATGACAATCTGATATCAATAGTTAAAACTGTCATTAGATAATTACTCATAGATGTATATAATAATCATATCATATACCATCCAAAAAACACTTTACTGGAATCACCCTGGTGTTCTATGAGAAATAGAAAGTATAGAGTAGTAATCTGAGATTTTGTAGTATATTTTAAACCAAGGTAATTTGTAATGACTTTGTACTAAGATTATGTACCTGTAGGCAAGTTTACCTGGTCGATATAGATTTTAGATTATTTCCTGAATAATTCTATGATTCATGTTCAAATTAATAACTAGGACGATTGTCGACATCTGGGGACATTTAAATCTTGATAGATCGAATGATTCATTATTAATATTTATATCACTATCTTTTCTCTTTTCTCTGAGGTGAAGAATATTTCCAGAAATAAACTGACAGTAAAGAGGGGTTGGGGGGCTTTATATTGCGCCTTTTTAAACTCCATTACAAAAACGAGCCTCATGTAGCTTTCAGTTATATTAAAGGGCAAAGAATTGTATTTCAGGTGTTTGAAATATCTCGTATAATGATATACATGTCTACATAATTTCCCTTATTGCACACAGCATGGTGTTTCCTGTCATAGTGTAAACAGGTTATGCCCCTGAAGTACCATAATGCCTGTTGTTAAAGATGCTTATAAAGAACAAACAACGTCTTTATTAAAATCTAAAATAGACCTAAATAATATCTACATAATATATAGCAAGGATGGGACGAAGCTTTGTATAAAATTCTCCAATTTAAAACATAAATCAACGAAGCGACACGGTTATCACTGTTCTAGATGGTAACAAAACACTATATTATCTCCAACATCCAGCCAGACAGCCAGGTGTGTTCATAGATAGACATAGAGGTAAATAGACTGGTAAATCAAGACTCTATAGGGACTCTATCTGCGTTGAACGTAAGGAAATAAAGTCGCCTTCAAACATTTGTCATATTTCATTTGAGTTGTATCACTTAACATTTAAAAATTGTTTAAAATTACTCGTGTTTGGAGATAAATCTCACGTCAATGCATAAACTAGCAAGTTGATGTTTAAAATGGCCCGATATTTCGGTCACCTGGAGGGCGATATAGTTTACATATCATCTAGGAAATACAGAATCTTTCAAAAAGGTGTTTTTTCTCCCCGGTGTCAGCGAAATTCTGGATACTATGAGGGTACGTAATTTTAATTATTTTTTGTAAGTTTATTGTTTTCTAGAAATTGACGTCAATAAAATGAGGGAATTTCTAAAATCCTTAATAACGTCATTTTTAATACGCTTCATTTTTTAAACAATACATGAATTGCACAAGATTCGGGGTTCTGACGTCCTTGGGGACTTTGACCCCCCAGATATAAGACTATATTTTGACTAATATTGTAAAATAATAACATGCAGCAGGTGTCTTGACGTCTTTAGACGATCATATTACAAAGTTTGACGTCAACATTTTATATCAAAAGTTTTAATTTTGTTATTTTATGAATAAGTTACATAAAACAGTAAGGTGTAAAACTCCAATGTATTAATTCAAGGTGAAGAATAATCAACCCAATTCTTGAGTTATCTCTGACCGTACTTTAGACTCAGACCAGAAAATAATTTCCTTGTAAGAGTGAAACCCAGAGAATAGTTTTTGTTTCCGTTTCCCTATAACACAATTAATTATTTTTCATTCCTATCCAATATAGAATAAGCTTGTCAGGGTTTTGAGTTTTTATTTTGTTGTAAATCAGACTGCAATATTATACCGATATCACAGCGCAGGGAAGATCAAAAATAAATATCGTTTTTTTTTTCAGAGTCCCTGCAAGTATTGCTAGTTCCGTCTTGTTAAATAGCTCGAGTTTCTAAACACGTCATTGTGTGTAATAGTAGAAATAGGATATTACAAATACCTCGACAAGCCCCTGAATTCTACCTGTATTTTACCTGTATAAATTTCATTATAATAATCAGATGGCTGGGACGAGATAAACCTAGCACCGTATTTCACTAAATACCACATTATACCAAGCCTAACTATGTTAAATATGTTTAATAAATGTTTTCTATCGTTACAGATGAGAATAATATGGAACTTCATATCAGTGTGGAGGATGATTCGGGATTGAAAGAATTTCAAACTGTTAAAACTAAAAAAGACGCGACTTTAGGCTCGAGTTTAGAGAATGCTTTAGGAGGTTTAGTGTGTTATGATATTATAGGTCCTGATTTACAGTGTAACTGGAATACTCTAGCTGTTCAATTAAAGGTACAGTGAATGATTGAATGAATGAATGAATGAATGAATGAATATCAGATGTAATGAATGAATGAATGAATGAATATCAGATGTAATGAATTCATTCATTCATTCATTCATTCAACAGTCTTTTCAAGCACGTTGATTCCGTTACATTCGCTATTATTGTTAATGAAATACAAGAAATCACAACGATATTAAACCCAAATAATAGAAAAATAATTCTAGAGTTATTGACATATACAGAATTTATAACGGTAAAAATCAAGAAATATGAAAATTACCTAACTATCTAAATAATTGATATTAAAAATCTATGTCAAGCTAAATTTCATATAATTAATTACCTGTAATTATAATTAGTTTTTATCTCGAGGCTAATTAAAATTATTATATCATTTATCAAACCTAAAATATCCCACCTCTAGTTCTTTCTTTTTTAAAAAAATATTACAAAATTTCGCTTTCAACTTCTTCTTCTATTTTTTTTTCAAATCAATTTTGAGATAAGGAAAACTATTAGAGCAGAACATATAAATTTATTTTTTGATAAAATATAATAATTTATATAAGTTTATATCTGAATACTAGTTAGGGTTGACTTGAGTTATACCCAGTTAGGGTTGACTTGAGTTATAACTAGTTTGGGTTGACTTGAGTTATAACTAGTTTGGGTTGACTTGAGTTATAACTAGTTTGGGTTGACTTGAGTTATAACTAGTTTGGGTTGACTTGAGTTATAACTAGTTAGGGTTGACTTGAGTTATAACTAGTTAGGGTTGACTTGAGTTATAACTAGTTAGGGTTGACTTGAGTTATAACTAGTTTGGGTTGACTTGAGTTATAACTAGTTTGGGTTGACTTGAGTTATAACTAGTTAGGGTTGACTTGAGTTATAACTAGTTAGGGTTGACTTGAGTTATAACTAGTTTGGGTTGACTTGAGTTATAACTAGTTTGGGTTGACTTGAGTTATACCCAGTTAGGGTTGACTTGAGTTATAACTAGTTTGGGTTGGCTTGAGTTATAACTAGTTTGGGTTGACTTGAGTTATACCCAGTTAGGGTTGACTTGAGTTATAACTAGTTTGGGTTGACTTGAGTTATACCCAGTTAGGGTTGACTTGAGTTATAACTAGTTTGGGTTGACTTGAGTTATAACTAGTTTGGGGTGACTTGAGTTATAACTAGTTAGGGTTGACTTGAGTTATAACTAGTTTGGATTGACTTGAGTTGTAAGTGCGTCAAAAGATAAAGATAAAAACGTGGGAAAGGATCTTTAATAGGTGACTCGGACTCGTTTTATAAAATTACCACGACCAAATTCATTATAACTAACTCGAGTTTAAAAAAAACACACTGTGATCTGTGATAAAATTACAAAAATTAATATAATACCTATAATTCTAATTAAAGACATTTAGGCTTATTTTTCGAGAACTTATAAAAAATTTTGATTTTGAATCCGGATTTTGATATTTTTTTAAAAGAATGAGTAACCTCGGATGTCATCTGAATATATTTTGTTTGATGTTTTATTTATATCACTCACTATAGTCGACAATAATAACCTACAACTGACTTTTATATTCTCTAGTTTTATTGACAGTTCAATCTGTTGTCTCATGGTTAGAAATAGGATCGGTCACGAGCTCTAGATATTAAATATTATACATAAATAGAATCTAATACTAGAGGACAGTAGTACTCGTAAAACTAATATAACGAAACGGAGGGGGGGGGGGGGGGGGGGGGGGGGCCCCCCCTTTCCAAATGTCCCCAAAAAACCCCAAATT